ATCAGCATCAGCATCAGCATCGTCATCCTCATCCTCATCCTCATCCTCAACCTCGTCGTCGTCGTCGTCAGCAGCAGCATCAGCAGCAGGAGCAGCCTCCTCATCCTCCTCCTCCTCCTCCGCCTCCTCCTCCTCCTACTCCATCCTTCTTCCTTGTGAATAACTCCTCCCTGTCGTACACCGATAAGGGTCGGTGGGGCGGGCCGGGCGTTTCGCTTGAGACTTCCTCACCGCTGATGACGCTGAAGCTTGATATTCGAAAGAGTTTCACAGATGAAGGGCGAGTCGTTTGCAAAATGTGGCTCTCGCCTCAGCGTCGGGCTCATGCGTTTGAGAGTCTGCGAGAGCTTCCGGAATGGAGGGCGGGTCGTTTTCAAAATGTGGCTCTCGCCTCCGCGCCGCACACATTCGTCGTAAAAGTGTGCCAGAGTTTCACAGGTGAAGGGCGGTCCGTTTTCAAAATAAAGCTCTCGCCTTAACGCCGCGCACATTCGTCTTCATGAATGGAGTGCGGCTCCTTCTCAGACTGTGGCTCTTACGTTAGCGTCGCGCACATTCGCCTTAACAGCTCACGGCAGTTTCTAGGAGTCTGATGGCTGTCGTTCCTGGAATGGCTTTCTGGCACGACTTAAGATTGTCAGAGCGCGACAATCACGTTGATTCGCAGATTTGACGTCCCAGAAGTAATGTTCTGGGACGATTCAGGATCGTCAGGTCGCAGCAATAACGGCGTTGATTCCCGGCGTCGAAGTCCCAAGAATGGTACTTTGGTACGGTTGAAGGTTTTCTGACGGTTGTATTCACACGGGACTCTTCCGGCAGTAAACATGAAAGCTTATAGGATCCTATGAAAGGGGAACTGGAGGGAGGGTGTATTGCAACATCGTTGATGAGTCTTGGCTTTACAGTGGTCCTCCTCCTCCTTCTCCTCCTCCACATTATTCTCTTGGCCTCCTCCTCCTCCTTCTCTTCCTCCTCCTTTTCCTCCTCATCCTCATCCTCCTCCTTCTCATCATAATTCTCCTCCGCCTGATCCTCCTCCTCCATGGCCTCCTCCTCCTCCTCCCTCCTCCCCCTCCTCCTCCTCCTCCTCCTCCTCCTCCTCCTCCTCTCTCCTCCTCCTCCTCCTCCTCCTCTATGGCCTCATCCTCCCCCAACTCCTCCTCCTCCTTCTCCTTCCTCCTCATCATCATCATCACATCACCCATCACCATCAATATCATCAGCATCACCATCATCAGCAGCAGCGTCATCATATCATCATCATCATCATCATCATCATCATCATCATCATCATCATCATCATCATCATCATCATCATCATCATCATCATCATCATAAGCATCAGCATCATCATCATCAGCATCAGCATCATCAGTATCAGCATCATCATCACCACAAGCACCATCATCATCACCACCACCATGATCACGACCACCACCATCAGCATCAGCATCAACATCAGCATCAGCATCATCATCATCATCATCAGAATCCTCATCATCATCATCATCATCATCATCAACAACAGCATCATCATCAGCATCACCAGCATCCTCAGCATCATCAGCATCAGAATCATCAGCATCATCATCATGATCAGCATCATCATCATCATCATCATCATCAGCATCATCATCAGCAGCATCATCAACTTCCTCCTCCTCCTCCTCCTCAGCATCCTCCTCATCTTCCTCCTCCACTCATCCTCCTCGACCTCCTCATCATCGGCCTCCTCCTGCCCCTCCTTCTCATCGACCTCCTCCTCCTCCTTCTCCTCAGCCTCCCGAGTCTCCTTGCCCGGGGAGAAGGAGGCGAAGGAGGAGGAGGAGGAGGAGGAGGACGAGGAGGAGGAGGAGGAGGAGGAGGGGAGGGAGGGGAGGAGGAGGGAGGGAGGAGGAGAGGAGGGAGGAGGAGGAGGAGGAGGAGGAGGAGGAGGGGAGGAGGAGGAGGAGGAGGAGGAGGAGGAGGAGGAGGAGGAGGGAGGAGGAGGAGGAGGAGGAGGAGGAGGAGGAGGAGGAGGAGGAGGAGGAGGAGGAGGAGGAGGAGGAGGAGGGGGAGGAGGAGGAGGAGGGAGGAGGGAGAGGGGAGGAGGAAGGGGAGGGAGGAGGAGGAGGAGGAGGAGGAGGAGGAGGAGGAGGAGGAGGAAGGAGAGACACGCGGCTGGATGGGAGCGTCGGCGGGGCCTGCAGGGCGGCTTCTGCGAGAGGCCCGCCGCCGCCAGCGCCATCGCGGGCGCCCGGGCCAGGCAGCGCGCACTTGCAAACCACGAGGGGGGGAGAGGCGAGGAGGGCCTCCTCCTCCTCCTCTCCTCCTCCTCCTCCTCCTCCTCCTCTCCTCCTCCTCTCCACATCATCCTCCTCTCCTCCGTCGCCCTCCTCCTCCTCCTCCTCTCCTCCTCCTCCTCCTCCTCCTCCTTAACCGTCCCCGTCTCCTCCTCCTGCTATCCCTTCTCCTCCTCCTCCTCCTCCGCCGCCTCCTGCTCTTTCTCCTCTACTCAGCTTTGTGTGCAGGCCCCTGTAAATCCTGGAATTGTAGGTCTGATTTTCGTGGGCTGTTAGCACGCGCCATGGGTAAGCCTCGATCGTGGCTACCGAGAGGCGGGGGGGGACGGGCGGGGGGGGGGGTCCCACAGCCAACATTAGGCGATTTGGCACAAAGCGCTGCCATGGTACGCAGACCTTGCCGTGACGTAATTGCCCATTGCGCAAGATCAGCTGACTATGATTGCGCATCTCGACGCGGCCTTGGGCAATGCCAAGAATCAAGGTACACAGGCTGGGTATGTGCTCGCGTTCACGTCCAAGGCAGTGGATCGAGACGAAGAGGTCCAGTGGGCCCCGTTCAATTGGAGATCTGTCCAACTGAAGCGACTGTTCCCAGCACTCAGGCCGCATCTTCGTGTTGTGCCGCTTTGGAATTGATGTCTCCCATGCTGTATGAGGCCCTCGACCGGCTGGTGGACCTCAGCAACCTTGACGCGTGCATGACCACACAAGAACCCATCGTTGCCACCGACTGTAAGCCTATGTGTGACACTGTGAAGGGCAACACTTCCCCTGCTAGCCTGGAAGACGAGCGGTGTACAATCGACGCGGTGGTCATTAGAGATCGGGTGAAGCACTATGCCGCGAGTTTCAGGTAGTGTCCGACCAAATGACATCTAGCAGACGCCCTCACCAATGACAAGCGGGACCCAGCTGACCTTTAAGAGCCTGCATGAGAGCCAACTGGCTAACACCTAGCCGATAAGGAGTATGTCTTAGAAGTGGAAGCCACTGAGAAAGAGATGTCGCACGCAAAACAAAACAAAAACAAACAAACAAAACGAATGCTGAGGTGCAAAACGAAAAGAGTGATCGACCAAGTACCGATGATATCTTGATTACAAACTACCCATGGTGGTGGTTGGTAAGGTCAGGTCTTTATGTTACGTGTATACCCTGCGGTACCATACGATGCGCATGCTGACACAATTCTTCGGACCAATATTGTGTAACTATGATTGCATATGTGAGAAGCCATTCACTACGGCTTAGGGCTCGCAAAGCATAAAAGCACACAATTTCCTTCCTTTCTCCCCACACAAAGAAAGATAGACAACCATTTCCGTGTCCAAATTTTTCAGTGATGCTGGTCGTCCAGGAAGAGCATCGCCCGGCGGTGACCGGTCAGGACATCTGCGAGCGCGTGCTCAAGGCGGGACAGCAGGTCAAGGGGGAAGCCACAGAGTCTGCGACAATCGGGCTCGGTAAGCATCAGGGAAAGGAATTCGAGCAAGTGTGGAGCTCAGAAGGGTTCTTGTGACTGGTGCCTGGCCCACCTCAAACCTACCTCAAGTTTTTCCCAGCAAGCGTGTTTGGAGTTCTCCGTGCAGGGCGGCAAGGAGGCGGATCCCCGTGTGAAGACCCCATCTGAATCTGACAGTAGCTCAGGTAAGAGTCTCGAACAGCACTTGGTGAACCCTGAGGAGGCTTTGTGTGGCTTCCCCGAGCGTCTCTCATGGCAGGAGGCAGTCAGCGAGACACAGAAGTTCGACGGCCTCCTGGAGGGCCTCGCCACCAACACGTTGCAGGTGGATAACACCATACAGGCAATCTTTCGCAGTTTGACAAGAGCCGGCATCATGTGGCTTTAAGACCACACTGACGCCGACTGTTTCCAAAACAGGACTTCAGAGGCTTGCGGATTGTTAAGGAATGAATTTGCAAGTGTGTGCCTCAGACCTGTCCTGCTCTCTCTCTCTCTCTCTGGCTTTTTTTTTTTCTCTCTCTCTCTCTCTCTCACTGCACCTCTCGCTGCGCCGCCGCCGTCTGACCATCGACGGAACTCTGCGAGTGCTCAAGGTAGCGCGAACAGCCCATATCTCTCTCATCCATCCAGGGCTGGAGACCAGCGGGAAGTTTTGGCTCCCTTGGCGGAGGTGGAGGAGGAGGAGGAGGAAGAAGAAGAAAAGCACCAACGGTCCGATGTGGTAGCTCATACTACAGACGCAGCCAGAGCATCCGAAAAAACGGAAGATGACGGACCGGGTGATCGAGAACCACGGAAGGGGGCTCGATAGTCTGTGGGGCCCTGCAGGGGGAGACCTCCGGCAAGAGCGAGACCCCCCAGTTGGGGACGCCTCGGGGGCTCGCCTGTGCAATCCACCACTTGACGGGCCAGAGGCAGACGCCGAAGAAGCCCACCCCAGCACAACCCCGACTAGGAGTCCCGACGAGGGACAGCCCAGACGTCGGAGGGCCTCGAGGACCCAGGGAGGCGGCCCTCCCCCAGAGAGCTCTCGGCGAGACGCTGCCTACGTGGGAGTGGAGGAGGAGGATAAGGAGGAGGAGGAGGAGGAGGAGGAGGAGGAGGAGGAGGAGGAGGAGGAGGAGGCTGAGGAGGGTCAGCAGGAGTCTCCTAGAATCTCCTGGAGCGCACGCACGTGCATCAATCACCATCACCACTGCTGACATCACACTGCCTGCCTGCGCATGGGCGTGCATCACCATGTGTAA